CCCCCCCAATCTGTGGTTTTTCTTTCCATGGTCAGAAAATGTTAAGTGAAATTTTTCAGAAATAAACAATAAATTTTAAATTGCACACCATTCTGAGTAGCATGATGATCTCCTGCCATCCCTGTCAGTCCTACCAGGGAGGCGAAGCATCCTGTTGTCCAGCGTATCCATGCTGTACATGCTCCCCACCCATTAGTCACTCAGTTGCCATCTTTGTTACCTCATCAACTGTGGATATCACCATGCTTGTGTTCAAGTAACCCTGATTTCACTTAATAATGCCATATTCACATAACTTTTATTATAGTATTTGTTGTAACTTGTATTTTATTATTAATTTATTAATCTCTTACTAATTTATAAGTTAAACTTTATCACAGGTATGTATGTATAAGAAAATATAGTACACAAAGGGTTCGGTACTATCCACAGTTTCAGGCACCTACTGTGGGTCTTGGAAAGTATCCCCTACAGATAAGGGGGACTACTGTACACACATTCTCAATTTATCATGGCACAAAGCAGGTTGCTTGGAACTCAGAAGTCACAGTGATTACTTATATAGTCCATGCCAAAAGCTACCCATTTATAGCATGGTCGTCCACCACTTGTACTACAAATTTAGCCTCAAGAGTGGGGCCAGGGGAACCACGATTCTCTGGGCAAGGGAAAGGAATTTGGTCATTTAACCTCCCCTACCTCTGGAATTTATTAACAACTATAAAACATTTAAAACTTACATAAGAGAGTACAGTATTACATATGTCCACCCAGACTTGTGATATTTAGTATTTGTCATATTTACTACAGATCTTTATGCTTTTTGTTTGATGTTTAGGAAATAAAATAGTACAACTGAAGATCCTTGAGCATCCCTCCTTGATCCTGTTTAATGTCTCACATTAAAGGTAACTAATACCCTGGGTTTGAACTTCATCATTTTCATGTATGTTTTTAGATTTTCACCATATAAGCAGATATATCTTATATTTTCACTATATACATAAAGATGTCCAAAATATATTTAACAGTATTTTGAACATTAAAAAATATTTAACATTTTAGTGTATGTCTTCCCAAAACTTAACTTTTTTCATTTGACATTAAAGTTGTTACATTATCTATATTGATAGATAAACCTGTAATTCATTTATTTTAGTAAACTACAGTGTTTAATATACTACAATTTAGTCATCCCTACTTTTAACTAATGGACATTTAATTGTTTATAATAACCAAGAATTGAAAGTAGTTCAGTGAACATTTTTCTATATTTTGCATTGTACCAATATTAAGACAATGTTTCCAGTATAAACCCAGAGGTGAGTTACTGGCTCTTTATAAATTTTAGATACAGAATCTTTGTTATATTTCCCACTAGTACCTTCTCCCTGCTTGTAGCTTAACCTTTTGCTTTGTTTATAGTGAGTTTTGTAGTATAAATGTTTTACATTTTTATGG